AGAGAGAGAGAGAGAGACAGAGAGACAGAGAGACAGAGAGACAGAGAGAGTAGAGAGAGAGTGAGTCCTGGTGTGACGCTATGGGCTAATGCACGAGACTGCAAAATAATTTGAACTGTAAGATCAGTGGTTCAAGCACACCAGCTGCTCCTTGGAAACCCTATAGAGGGTCGCTATGGGTCGGAACTGATTCAACAGCACTTAACAACAACAACATATGCTATATAATGACTTCTAGAGCATAAGTCCTGTGTGGTGTTGTGGGTTAATGCACTGGATTGCAAAATTGGTTTGAACTGCACGTCAGCAGTTCAAGCTCACCAGCTGCTCCTCAGAAACCCTATACAGGGTAGCTATGGGTTGGAACCATCTTGACAGCTATTAACAACAACAATAATTATGGCATCCTGGTATGGCGCTGGGGGTTAATGCACTAGACTGCAAAGTCAGTTTGGGCCTCAAGGCACTGAACAACAACAATCTAAAAATATGCAAATGAAATAGCAAGCCTCAGTTTTTGTCTTTGTTGTGAGCCAGATATGGGGTTGTGGTTGTTGTTAAGTGCCATTGAGTGGGTTCCAACAAATAGTGACTCCCCAAATTGGGTTTCTGAAAATGACTGATGGTCTTGAAACACAACCTTGAGGTTCAAACTGACCTTGTGGTGGTGGTGTTGTTGTTAGGTGCCATCGAGTTGGTACCGACTCATAGCATCCTTATGCACAGCAGAACGAAACACAGCCCGATCCTGGGCCAAGCTCACTATTGTTGCCACGCTTGAGTCCATCGATGCTGCCACTTGGCCAATCCATCTCACTGGGGGTCTTCCCTGTGAGGGTCTACTCTTTTTCTCTGACCCTCCCCCCTACCAAACATGATATCCTTCTCCAGCAAATGGTCCCTCCTGACAATATGTTCCAAGAATGAGAGACGAAGTTTGGCCATCCTGGCCTCCAAGGAACATTCTGGCTACACTTCTTCCAACATGGATCTATTTGGCAGCCCATGGTACTTTCAATATTCACCTCCAACACCATAACTCAAAAGCATCAATTCTTGTATGGTCTTCCTTATTTACTGTCTGGCTTTCACATGCATATGAGGTTACTGAAAATACCATGGCTTGGGTCAGGCGCACCTTCATCTTCAAGCTCACATCTTTGCTCTTCAACACTTTAAAAAGATCTTGTGCAGCAGATTTGCCTAAAGCAAATCATTTGATTTCTTGACTGCTGCTTCCGTGAGTGTTGATAGTTGATCCAAGGAGAACGAAGCCCTTGACAACTTCAATTTTTTCTTCATTGATAAGAATATTATTGGTTCACTGGTGAAGGTTTTTGTTTTCTTTACACTGAGATACAATCCATACCAAAGGCTGTGCTCTTTGATCTTCATCAGTAAATGTTTTAAGTCCTCTTCACTTTCAGCAAGCAAGGTTGTATCATCTGCATATTGCAGGTTGTTAATGAGTCTTCCTCCAATCCTGATGCCACATTTTTCTTCATATAACCCAGTTTCTCGGATTATTTGCTCAGCATACAGGTTGAATAAGTATGGTGAAAGAATACAACCTTGTCACACAGCTTTCTTAATTTTAAACCATTCAGTGGAGTGTTTATCCTTTAGCACCACATCAGGACTCTTGATGTGGGGTGGTGGTGGTTAGGTGCTGTGGAGTTGGTTCCAAATAATAGTTACCCTATATAAGGTTTCCAAGACTAAATCTTTACAGGAACAGAAAGCCTCATCTTTCTCCTGTGGAACTGCTGGTAGTTTTGAACTGCTGACCTTGAGATTAACAGACTAAATCATAAATACTAGC